TAACCATTGATCTGAGAAATTGTTTATTTTTATATATATGATAGCTTAAATATTTATGAATGAATTTGGCGCCATGCGCTACAAAGATATGAAAGCCTAAATTTGACATGGCTATTTAAGAGAGTTCAGGTCAATATTTTGATTTTCTTACAGTACTGAACAAAAGTGTCCTTAGCGCAACCTATTTTGGGTTCAACTTTCTTATTTTCTATACTAAATCTGTTATAATTTATAACTTTTAGAAGAAAAGTTTTGTTCGGTCTGTTAAACTCATTTCTGTCCTTGATTTCTAACCAGGCATTTTTATAAAATCCATAAGGAAAGTGAACGTTTTCTCTTTTTGAACAGCTGAAGGAGACTGACGATTCTATAAGGTGAAAGATTGTGTAGAACAGAAAGAACGAGTTCATTTGTTCAAACACATTTTAAAATGCATTGTTGATACTGTTCTAATTTGGCGTCATCAGGCGCGAATATTGTTACACAATCTAACAGGTATTTCGTGCTTTTAAATAAAATTCACGCATTAGATTGAAGGCCGTTGATAAAATGAAGTAAAACTTTCATAATTAATTGTAAATGACTGAATTATTCATTTAGTCCAATGATAAACGGATAAATCACATTTTTATTGCTACTCATAATGGCAGATATAAACAAAAAATACGATGAATTTTTATCATTTATTCTTCCTTGATATTTAATTGTATTTATTCAAACGAGAGGATACGGAACGTTGATTTACAGTTGTTTGCAAAAACTTGAAAAAAAATCTCGACCAGGTTATCAACTTTGGCACATGGTTCATTCTTGTTGTTGCGGGTTGATTCAAGGGAAAGTAACTCTTGTACAAAGAAACTTAACTCTTCACAGTCACTCACCTCCTCCTCCTTTGTGTCGTGTGGGAAATCATTGCCTTCCACAACTTCTTATACTTTGTAACTATTATGTGTGTCCACTTACTGTCCATCCCAGTCCATATCCTGCCATCAATTTGCAAAAGCCCATTAGGCACGTTACTTGTTGTTTTTCCTGTCCCTCTTGCCTTCAATAGGCCCTGTAATTCTCCAAGCTTGCTTTCTTCAGAATGTGTTCCAAAAATTTCAATTGTCATTTTGTCATTCAAAGTATAAGTATCTTTTTTGTTCCTATTTCCCTTAAATGTCCGTCGTTACTCATATATTCTACCCGTTGTATTATCAGCATTATTTTATAGACATTGATTTCTTTTCCCCAGCATTTACTGTTAAACAGGAGGATTGATATTATATAGCAGCTCAATGCACTTTAATTTTTTTCGAATGACTTCTAAAGGCAAACAAAGTGTTTAGAAACAAGAGAATTTCGTTAGAAACAAAAAATGTCACTCAAATACCTGTAATTTTTATTACTAATTTTAGCTTACTCTGACATTACTCTAAAATTGTGCGATATCAGGTGATGATCTCCTAAACTAGCTAATGATTAAGTCCTGACGATGAGGCACCTGAAATATTTTGATTTAACTTTCTATTGTACAACGTCGTAAGAATGGAATGGAGTACTCGAGGGATGAACCCATTCTTGAACGGATAAGTATGAGAGAGAAACTGTTATATATCCTAATACAGTAGTTACCAAACAGGAAAGTTTAAATATTTAAACGAAGAAGAAAAAATCCTTACTAAGTTTGGTTGAAACGGTACAAAGCTAACTGCGTAACTGAAGATAGGCCAATCTTTCTAAGAGTCAACCATTGACTTAACATGCTGGATTTTACCTAGACTTGATTATTGATCTTTGGTACAAGTGCAAATAAATTTTTTAACATGGAGACGGTCCAAAAAGCCAAAATACCTGTAAAATCTATGATGCCTACATATGACAGAGACAAGAAAGGTGAGGCCTTTTCTCTACGTGGAGAAAAAAGGCCACAACCACACAGGGTTCGGGTTCTTGCTATGGTTTACGTAGTAATTAGTTTTTTTTACAGAATGGGGCCACTTGTCTCCACACCCAGACGGTTTTGAATTCAGAGCTGTCTTTCTCCCAGATTGGTTGCCAATGAAGATTAGCGAGCCTTGTCTATTTAAATGAGTGAAGAGATCTAGGCATACCTTTCCCAAGGTATTTCTGCGAAAGTGAACGTAACAAATGTGGCCCGTATTTGAACTCGGCATGCCTGTTTTATTTTTTACGCCGACAACTGCTGCGATACACGCACATCTTATGCATAAATTAAGCACCTGCTTTTCTTTAAATCAAATGAAATATGTTTTTCGTGAGTTTTATTGTTACTTCATAGTTACCCATCTTCTAGACTGGTTCCCAATCAAGAGTAAAGAACCAATTCTGCGCAACTATTTAAGCCATAACTGTTTGGAAGAGAAGAAACGCATTCATACCTTTCCTAAAAGTATTTGTACGAAAATAAACTGGAATTTGAACGATTCCATTTTGGTGCTGATAACAGTGAGAAGAATGGACTATGCATAAACTACAAGAAGACGGAGTGCATGGTGGTCCGTAAAAGGGCTGAGCCCGAAATGCGATCTGAAGGTCGGGAACACTAGAATCAAGCAGATGCGGAAGTTTAAATATCTGGAAAGCGTCTTGACAGAGGACGGTAAGTGCGACACTGAGATCTATAGGTGTATTGGGATGGCCAAGGATATATTCCAAAAGTTGAGCAGGGTACTGAGTGACAGTACGATATCTTTGGTAACAAAGAAAAGAATAGTGAACTGTTACGTGACATCTGTACTTCTTTACGGCAGCGAATGGTGGACGATTTCCTAAAAGATGAAGATGAGATTCAAGGCGACAGAGATGTGGTTCTACAGAAGGATGCTAAGGATATCATGGACCGAGCGTGTGAGCAACGATGTGATCTTAGAGACTTTACAAACCAGGAGGAGGCTTATACACAATATCAGGAAGAGGCAGCTGAAGTTTCTGGGACACATAATGAGGAAGGAGGGCGTGGAGAATCTGATACTCACGGGTTGAATATAGGGAAAGAATGACAAGGGAAAACAACGCGTGACATACCTGGATGAGGAAGCAGAGGGAAGGAACTTGTTGAGAGTTGCAAGGGATAGGGAGAGGTGGAGAGCCATGATCGCCTACATCCTGAAAGGACATGGCACATAAAAAGAAAGAACCACAATTCTACAGTTAATTACGGCAGAACAATATCTACTTTCTTTCTTTAATTTGACTAGACTCTTAATAGGCGTTATATTGGTCCCCATATCTTAGTAATAAACTTTCAAAGATTCTTCTCTATTTTCTTTTGTGTTCTTTTATTTTGAAAGTCAAAATGGGAAATCAATACATAAATAAGATTTTTATTTTTCCTGTTCGTTTTTTGAAAAGTTCAGAATTAATCGCCGACCGTAACCTCCATTAGCAAAATGACTTCAAATACAATAGTGACGTGTTTTAGTTATTGATTCGTCTAATAAAAAAACATTAGTTTGTTTACGTAAAGTACACGGCATCAACCTGTATAAGAGATTTTTGTTTTCTTCATATCTTCATTTGACAAATTGATTTGACTTTTAGCCTGCATAAGATTTCCAAGACCCATCCACCCACGTAATTCTAGCATATGTGAAGGCATATTGGATTTTTTCTTTTTTTTGAAACAGCTACTAATTGATATTTTCGTCTTTCGTTTGTCTTTAATGCCTGCCTTACAAAGAGAAACGGCAATCTTTATACAATATTTAACTTTGCGGTTCATCTTTTAATTAATTTGGTAATGGAGTGAAAAATTTAAATCGCTTTTATGTCTCCGCTAATTTTATTGGAAATGAAAATTCCAGCAATTATAATAGCAGGATTTCCTTTTCAGCAATGCATCATACAGGTACATACATACATACATACATACATACATACATACATACATACATACATACATAATGGCTGTGACTCGACCGCTTGATCAATCCTCATATATGAACGGATGTTTTTTTCGTCCTGCTAGGGAGTTACATTCTTTTGAGCCGATACGGCAACGTAGCTATTACATAAATGACGCTTAACGTGTAATGAATACATACATACATACATACATACATACATACATACATACATATTTTTAACTATTCTAATAGTTATTTTGTGGATACCCATGACTGAGTTGAGGCCCGGCGTTTTTTAGACAGTGCGATTTCGTCTCTCGGACAGCGCATTTGAGAAATATAATAATGAGAATGTGCACTACAGCAGGGCGTCTAATCAAACATGAGCATCCACAAAAATTTCTAGGAAACACAGCCGGTTAAAAAATATTGATTCTTTAGAAATTATATATATATATATATATATATATATATATATATAGATAGATAGATAGAGATAGATAGATAGATAGATAGATAGATATGAATTTGGATCAACTATGGATCAGAATCCGACACAATGATCAAATAAAGAATAAATAGGAAACTTTTATCAGTCTAACATCTTTCACTTAAATTAAGGCTTCATCAACGAATGGGATATGGAGAAAAAGCAAAAATACATTCTAGTATTGTTTATGGTTTTTCAGTTGGGCTTGAAATCCGTTAATTTGTTGGAGCTTCGAAGGAACGCGTCGTCTCTCTTTGAATTTAGAACTCCAAAAATTATACTAACGTTTCTTTAACAAATTCGAATGAATGTGAAACCAATGAAAATCAAAAATAAACATACCGGAATTTCTTTCGTTTTCTCAATATCATTTTCTGTGATAAAGCTTGAATTGAAAATTGATAAATGTTTTCTATTTGTTCTTTATCTCATATCTCTCTCTCTCTCACACACACACACACACACACACACACACACACACACACACACACACACACACACACACACACACACACACACACACACACACACACACACACACACACACACACACACACACACACACACACGCATTGTTTAAAATTTGTTATATTTGTAGGGAAAGATTGCTCAATATCAGAGAGACTATTATAAGCAGCGTGGACATCAGTTTTACACAGACACACATTTCTCTCTCTCTCTCTCTTTCTCTTTCTCTTTCTCTCTCTCTCTTTCTCTCTCTCTCTTTCTCTCTCTCTCTCTCTCTCTCTCTCTCTTTCTCTCTCTCTCTCTCTCTTCTCTATCCGTGTGTGTGTGTGTGTGTGTGTGTGTGTGTGTGTAAAAAATAAAATTAAATGTTCAACTTATGTTCTCAGTTTCTATCTCCTGATATTGACTATTTTAATAAGAAAAACTGCTTGTCTTAAAAGTGATATCCTTCATGAATACACCGGCCGGCCATGCCTTTTTTTTTTAACGTGTGTTAAAAATACCCAGTAATCTTTTGTTGAAGACAAAAGACTGATTACATAATTGGAAACCGGTTTCACGCTGGAAATCTCTGCATGCACCTAATATAACAGGTCTATCCTGCGCATGAGTTGGTCACCCATAAAAATCTTCAGTAGGATTTTCAGTGCATAACATACAAAGTACCGAAAACTGCTAAAGATGTTGAATAAACAAATTTTAAGTTAATTTTACTTTCAAATTCTAATGTGATTCTGATAATTTTCATTCAGTTTTCATCCAAAGGACGATCAACTTGCATGCTCAAAATTCTTTGAAAATGGGCAAATACAAATTCTTCTGTGAAGGAGGAGGAAATTTTTCCTTCTGCCGCCTCTAAAGTTAATGAATTTACACGCTAAATGCATGAAGGTGTATCAATAGCCTGACATGTAACTATCAGCTGAATTTTGATTTGAATGTTTAACTATATAATATTCGTTATATATGAAGAATATTCACCATTTAATCAAGAGGGGATAAGGTTAAAATATAAATATTTATCTAAGATTAGTGCTACTTTCACGATTAGGTTATTTCACTCATGCTTTTAGTGTTTATGTAAATGGTATTTTTGACGTATTTGTTTAATAAATCCTAATTCTGATTTCCCGATTTGCATAAACCTTTATTTTGAAAATTACCTCTAAAACTATAAGCTGAAAATAATAAATTTGGGTTATATATATATATATATATATATATATATATATATATATATATATATAAACAGAAGAAAATGCAGAAGATTCCGAAGTCGCCTGGAGGTTGTTGTTGAAGCCAATGGCAATTTTATTGAATAAATTTACTCTTTCGTATTTCAAGATATTTTTGTGGAATTTTAGCTTCAGACTGACACCCAAACACTCTGAAATGTTCGTATTGGAGCTTCCGACGCGAATGTCAAGCAGTACAGCATGCCGTTTATGCGCAGAATTATAAATATAATGTGGCGACAATTTACCCATCGCACTCTCTCTCTCTCTCTCTTTCTCTCTCTCTCTCTCTCTCTATATATATATATATAACTATTATCAAGGATGATTTTATTTTTTCAATTTAATTGAGTGTCTGCGTTATGTCTATTCTTTTAGTATGATAGAGATGTTTTATTTTCCGAACACAGCACATTGTGGCCGTGTTCGTAATTAATATTATTAAGTGTCTACACACTCTGTGTACAAAAAAGAAAACACTTGTTCGAACACACGAAAAATTAAATAAAAAGCTTAATCGTAGTACCTTATCTATCGTTTTTAATGTAACATGCATAAATGAAGGATTGCTGCCTAAACATATATATATATATATAGAGAGAGAGAGAGAGAGAGAGAGAGAGAGAGAACCATTACAAATACAACTTATAAAAATAAATATTATTGTTAGAAATATGACCATATGTGATCAGAAGTGATAGTCATACGAAACACACAGTGCGGATCCATTTCATTCGATGATTCGCAGGAAAACTAACAATTTTGTTTCTGTTTAAATAATTACAATTTATCGATTACAATATACCAAAATTATGTAAATATAAATATAAAATATTTTATTGATTGATTTTTGATTTGTTTTTTACGGCTTATCAACCTTTTGCAGGTTATTTAAAGCCGACAAATATTTTTAAATTGCAAACATTTTGGGGGAAGATGATCATAATTTACTGATACAAATCCTACTAATTAACCCATAGCTGAGACGAGAGGATGTGGATTCATATCTTTCTCAAGGGTATTTGCGCGTAAGTAGATCTAACAAACCCGACTGGAATTAGAAATTTCTTAATTTGAACTCGGCTCTTCGACTTTCAATTCCGAGGAGTTGTTCATTTCGACACCTGAACATCCAAGCTTGCATGCATCTGGTATTCTCAAGCCATCATCTCTCTAGGTACTGACCAGGCTCGACGTTGCTTAACTTCGAAATATAAAATGTTGAAATAAGAAAAAAGGCAAATTCTGCGCGATTCTTAGAGACGCAAAAACCGAGCAGAGAATTAGAATTTCGTGTACTTAATCTGATATGTTAAAAATGAAACAATATCAAAAGACACTTGACCCTGATTCTTGAACAAGGATAACACTCTAATTTTGAGCATTATTTTCACCTTATATTAATTCTCTCTAAACAGACATTCGAACAAGGAGTGAGAAGTTCTCCTGAAACATTCTTGTAATTATCATCGGGTCAAAACGAAGAGAAAAAAAAAGTAAATCATATCACAAATATTTACTACAATAGTGTTGTTATTATTATAATTATTCGTATGTTCGCATATAATGGTTTCACTTGAGATTTAGTGAGAGAAAATTTCCTAAATTTTCCAGCACTTTCCTCAATATAATAGCATATAACAAACCTCAGCAACGCCGTGGTCTGGGTATTTAATTCCTGTTTACTTTTCAACCATGCAATTTTGATTCAAGCGTTTTGCCACCGTATTCATATTCCACACTTTTCTCAGTTTTTTGAGGAGGTCTTGTTATTTTCAAAACTTTAGATCCCCTTCGTTCTTACCATTTGATATATTAGCATAACAGCGCCCACTATTTAGTAAGTATTTATTTTTTATTTTTCTTGTGTATCAAAATATAAAATTCAAATTTCTTACTTAGATGAAATATTTGGTCTTGATCTGAAAAACTATTCGTTTTGTTTTTGCACTAATAATATTCAATGGGTTATGAATGCATGTCATCTTAATAATCCAGCGCTAGCCTCTTGATACTTACTATTGTCTGAATATTTTTTTAAAAATCGGTATCACCCCATGAAAGGTAGTAAAGCCACTAAGACACAAAGGAATTACAAGGTGTAGAAGAATTAGGAACAGAAATATTAATAATGAGCGGGAAGAGGGAAGAGTAATCAGCAGGACAAAATTAAATCGGCTGGAAAGCATGAAATCAGAAGAGAGTTCCATAAGGGACAAGTGTAAGAAAAGAAAACTGTTAGCATAGAATTTAGGTTTACATCTAACCAGATCATCTGTAAATTGATGAGATCTCAACTCTAGTCTTGTACTGCGCTTAATTTTAAAAAAAAGTCTAGGTACCAATAGCGAAGAACTCATCCGAACAATTACCATGAAAGTATTTATAGAAAAGACACAGAGAAGCAATCTTATGACTGTGGGAAAGTACCTAGAGCCGAGCCGCCAGATCAGGACCAATAATATTGCTAATTCTTTGCATTTTATCAAGAAAATCAAGGTAAATAGCAGGGGCGGCGGATCTTATGGCAGCAATGTGCTAAGGATGTTTAAAATCACTTTAAACTAAGTTTAAATTCACCTTTGATTTCCGAGTCTTTCAATCTGTCCGCAAGGATCTACGGCACCATCCCAGATGGTTCCATAACGTAGCATAACATCAATATCTTCAAAGTCCTCAGATGCTTTACTTTGACAAAATCCTGATATTTATCCAACTTTTATAATAGTTTCAGCGGTAAATGATATAAAGTCATAAAATATTAATTACGAAAATGACGTAACCATATAAATATTGTTTTTCCATAATTTACTGTTGCGCTTTTTCCCGTGTTCATTTTAACAAGATTTTGATATATTATCCAGTTCATACAAAGAAGAATAGCTTTTTTTTTATTGTAAAACCTTTCGGATACTGAACAGTATTTCTACAATTCTATACGACCTTCGATTGGGCGCTTCGAGGTGGTGTAATGATTAGCAAGCTTGTCTCACTAGAACAATGACGGCTGAGTAGTGAGTTCGATTCTCACTGGGTGCCCCCTAATTTCAGCCTTGTGCCACATCTAGACTATGCTTGGAAAATTACTATACGACCTTCGATAACAGAGATGAATTATTTGTAGCGTAGTCCTTGTTGAATCGGGTTAAGGAGAATCTGTTTTTATCAAATTAACAACATCAGCCATCTTAAGAATAATGCTAGAGACATAAATTGCCTCAATTTGTGACCCTCATGCTACTAATTCTTCGGAATAATTGAACAGTATACACTAAGAAGTAAAAGTTACTGTGCAAATAATACTGATCTCATTCAAATAACTCTTGCTTTGAATTAGGTTTTGTATTCAGTTTGAAATTAAAGACGGTCGTATTCGACTTAATTTTCACTTACAGCGAACTTTCTCTCTGATAAACAATTAAGGGCATAGATACCTGAATATAAGTAGGTACGTCAACGTGGTCGTTGCTTTATAGAAAAAAAAGAATGTAATATATTAAAAATACAATATCTATTTCTCAACATAATCTATTTTCATGTTAATGAATTCAGTGCTTAATATTAATCACATTGGTTGTGTATTATACAGTGAAAACTGCTGATCAATATTCAACTAATAACAATGAACTTATTGATTCACCCGCAAATATCATACACATATCTGTCTATTACAGTCAATTTCTATCTATCTATCAATTTCTATCTATCTATCTATCTATCTATCTATCTATCTACCAAAATTTATTTATACCTGCTCGTTCGCATCTATCTATCTACCTATCTATCTATCAAAATTCGTTTATACCTGCTCGTTCGCATCTATCTATCTATCTATCTATCTATCTATCTATCTATCTATCTATCTATCTATCTATCTATCTGTGTGTGTTTGTGTGTGTGTGTGTGAGAGAGAGAGAGCTGTGTGCCTATACAATCTCAGTATATATGTATGCATGTCTTCATTTTGTAGGTTTGTAATCTTCAAGAACAGTAATAGCAGTTTGTGAAAACAAATTCCAAAAAGCAGTTCCACATCTATGTCCTTTTAAATTTCTCACGGTGGAGAAATGGATATCGGCTCGGATTGAGGAATCGGAGAGCCGAGTTCGAATTCCAGTCGAATCCATTATATTCACTTACGTGTTAATACTCTTGGAAAGGTATGAATCCTCTTCTCTCCACCCCCCCCAAAAAAATCGGGTGAACAGCAGGACAGACCGGATTCTATAGGCTTGGATGGCAACTGGTCTACCGCAGAAAGAAATGGTAACCTACTGCGGGAAAAATCTGCCTCGTCAGTCATGTATCGAAAGATAGATGATCGCCTAAGCGTGTATCACCTATGGCCCATAACTGACTATTTAATGATTCATGTTTTCATGTTCAAATCCTGGATGATGTATTTACTGATCATTTTGTCCTTTATCTCTCGGTAACATTTTTTTGTTTATTGTTTTATTTTTCTGTTCTTTGTCTAATTTCGTTCAAATTGGACATAGAACACGTCAAATAAGTTTTTTTTGCCAGAAAACATATCACGTAAAATAATATAATATTTATTCATAAGTAAATATGAAATTTACGATATTTCGGCCAATAGCTTATTTTATTTAGGCGTAATTAAGAAAAGATTATCGTAATCTTTATTCTTGTTATTTTTTTAATTTAGTTCATAGTTCGGCATTTTTTGGTGAAATTTAGTCCAGTGGTTTGGCTCGTTGATTAGAGATCTTTCAGAGAAATTTGATCCAGTGGTTTGGTTCATTATTCAGAATTCTTTCAGTGATATTTGGTGCAGTCGTTTAAATTAAAGCGATAATTTTACTCTACTCTTTAATCTCTAGATGGAGGGAGAAGAATGGACCACAACTTTCCCAAAGTTATTAATACGAAAGTGAAAGCAACTGACTAGATTGGAATTTGAACTCGGCTGTTCTTCTTTAAGATGCTAAGTCCTTTCCGGGCGTGAGTGATCATGTTTTTTCACCACTTCTTGTCATTTGTTGCTCTTTAAATTGGTTACTCACTGATTCTCTTGTGTTCAGTATGCCCTGTGAGTATTAACTTCTCTAAGCACTCTGTCCTCGTTGTGTAACTGGGTATTTCAAATAATTTTAAGTATTAGTTTCCATGTTGTTCCAGTCTTTCTCGTGTTTCTTTCTTGTTCAGATGCAATATTGTCATTATTAATTTTTGTCTCGACTTGCTTTCGCTTTGTATTTGTTGCTTATTGACGCAAGGTATTAATAAGATGTAATAGTCTTAGCTTCTTAGGTGAAATATTGTCAATCATTATTAATGTTTGACAAGTATTTCTTCCATATTATTCCTGTTTTTAATGCACTGCATCGGTTTTTATTCTATGACTATTGTGTAAACATCACGGAAAGGAAATAAAGAACAAATTTATTGCGTGATTTAAATTCGCATATTTTATTTTTGGAATTAGGCTACGAAGACTCCAACTAATAGGCGTCGTTCAAATTAGTTATATAGCTATGCCAATTTTCTCTGATCTTGACCACCATATTGCTTTGATAATTTATATAATTAGTAGTATTAGATAAATAAGTGCCCTCTTTTAAATGAAGCATTATCGTAATTATAAATTATGCTAGTCATATTTTTCATCTCCTTTCACTTTATATTCCTTTGGGTTTATTTATGCTTTTGACCTGTTTTTTAAAGTTAATGTTTGTGATTTCATGTCTACCAGTATTATGCGAAATAACTTAGTACAGTCAGTTTTAAATTGACTCTAAACAGTTTGAAGCTGGTTGATTGAATTATCATGGCGGCTAAGCGCTTCAAGTAGATTAGCAAATAAATCCATCATGTGATACTAGACATTTCTCATAAAGAATACATATAGACTAAGAAAAATATGCATTAGATATAAATTTCTCTCTGTCTCCTTTTCTAACTCTCTAACATTCTGCTTATTGGAATTTCACTTTCTCAGACAGTTAAAAAGTTCGATTCTTTGTTCTGGAATTATTTTTCTGCCTTCAAAAGTTGAGAGTGAACCAGTCATTTTTAATGATCATATAGGTTAATGGAGTCGTTTTTAGTAAATAGTTTTTTTTTTAAATTAAAAATAGAGCTTCTTTAAAATAGATTTAATGACTATAAAATATTTTTCGGCGATTTTTGACCAAAGTGAGAATTCTGGAATAACAACTACTCGCCATAGAGTTGGGATTGGAGAGGAGGAGATGGGCAGCGCCGTCTTTCTACCCCTTCTTTTTTTAGGGTGGTGGGGACACGCTTGCACTCGTTACGAGCAGAGACAAAGAGACGTCTGTTGCAATCAGACGTTTCGCTCATGTACATCCGGAAGAAAGCATTCCTGTGGGTTTTAGCGGTCGGGTATGCAGGTGAGAACCAAGGAGATGAAGTTTAACTTGGTATTTCCTTGCTGGAATGAAAGCATCGATGCCGGCTTTCACTCAGGAGGAAACCTCAGACGCGCATTTTTCAACAGGGTGATTAAAAAATTAATTCCAAGGGACCCCACGAAGGAAATCATGGAACGAGTCCGAATCTTCTCGTTGATAACAGAAAGATATTCTTTTGGTAAGAAGTTCATAGCTGGTGAAATTATCAGAAATACTATCTAGCTTGCAACAGACATCAGAGGAAGGGGAACGGTGGAAAAAGAAGAGATGGCTGACAGTTAAATATATATATATATATATATATATATATATATATATATATATATATATATATATATATATATAGAGAGAGAGACATGTACGAATGGTCTGGAGATTTAAGAGAGAGTTCCCTAGACAGCGGGAAATGTTCGCGGACATAACCTCCCAGGCCATGCATGTGGACATTAGAGTCCTTTCTAAGGAGAGAAAAGTAGGCAGAAATCAGTGGAGGTGATTGAAGATTAGTTTCTCAGAGAGCTAGGACGTCCGGAGACTTTTCGAAGACGAGCGATTCCACACTGCAAAAATTGGTATAAATACAACGAATGTCGGAGAGAGAAAGGTTAAGGGGTTTAGGTGTTTTGAGCTGAGCTGCTTTAAGTTTATATATTTGGTTGTTTGTAGTCATGATGTGTTATATTGGTAAGGAAAGGCCTAGGGTAGTAGTAGAAATTGGTCACCTTATGTAACATGTGCAGTAAGGGAAGTGGTACAAACTGCAACATAGTGTGACCACAGGATTGCCCACCGTAGGTGCTTACAGGGATATCCTTCCATGCGTGACATGGAACTGCAAGAACCCCGATATTATGCAACTTTTAATGAGAACAGTCTCCTTGCTTGGCGTGAAATGATTTTTTTTAAATGTGATAGAAACAGATATTTATATACATCAATAAAAAAATTATACATAAATAAAAATATACAAGAAAAGATTTGATGAGAGGATGAGAAAAAATATAAACACTTTTAACGATTCTTCGCTTTTGTAGTTCATTAATACTTCCATACCAATAAGTCCATAATTTAACACTTATCACTCTGTATGTGACTTCATTTGCCGTGCAAATAGTTTATCCTGCCACTGGAGGTGGCTCTGATCCCTGAATTTTAATTTGTTTGAATTTCATAGTTGTGTAGTCATATCCTGCTATAGCAACAGAAAACACCTTTGAGTGAAATTAACAATAAGGTTACTGCAATTAAGAAGCATTGAACAAGAATGCTGTGGAAAGTAATATGCAGAATGCTAAAGGTTAATGATGAAAATCATTTATTTTATGCCAAAATATTTTTCAACATAATCTTCGTCCATTTAATTCGGTGGGGAAATTTAGTTACCGAGATCAAACATTAGAGTGAATATTTCAGATCTAAATCAGCTGATAACTATGTATCAGGAAATGAACTTATTGATCCATCATTGTATTTTATAGTTATTGTGTTACACTTGCTTTATATTTTCTTTCAGTTCTAAGGAAAAATGTGTCGATTATGGTTTTAAACAAGAGTTTCGTTATACTACTTCCAGATAGTGAAAGAAGTATTAAAAAAACAGCTTTATAATTAAATATTTTTTCAACAACACCAACTTTGGCCCTCACAGAACAAACGCACTATGTGAAACTGTGTTGTAAGATTAAACCCATCAAAGCTGACTACCTGGCTAAAAATTGTTGCTTTTATTATGGTAATGTGAATTAGTTATGAAGGAGTGGTTTCTCATATATCCCTCACCCATTTTTTCATTCAACTATTATAGTATACCAGTGAAGGGAAAAATGTCCGGTGGTGGAACAAAGCGTATGGAAAAGAGAACTTATTAAAATGAATAAAACAGCCCCAAATGGAATACAAACCAGTTTTCTGTATCTCAGATTGCATATAAGCACGTTGCCATCTGCATAATGTGTTACTAAATATATATGCAGTCAACATGAAGATAAATCAACTACACCCAAAAACAAACCCCCTTAAAAATAGCTAAAGAAGTGGTCGAAAGCGTATGGGACAATGGACAATACGGACGATTTTTGCACTTCCTCCTTTCACCAAACGGAAAAAAATGGAAGAATGCAAGAAAAACTCAATTAAAAAATGAATTAAATTTTCCTTGTCTGTTATATTCAACGAAACTTGTTTAAAAGAATGATTGCTGCCCAAACATATATTAATATATATATATATAAATTCAAAAAAGACATTCGGATTACAAACATAAAAACAGAGAATGTCTCATATCGAGAATATTTAACATCGAAAAACATAAAGGAAAAAAATTAATTATTTTTAATATGTGGAAATCTCCGCCTTTTACCTGAAGACGGTCTACACGTGTAGTAAAATTATGGAAAATAAAGCATAATATTTAAAAAAAAAATCCACATTACAACCAAACATTTGCGGTACCTCTTTTCTTTTTAATATACACACTTTTCTCTTGTTGGAACCACTATAACCTCTTTCTTTATATATATATATATATTTCTTATTTCGTTCTTCGCGTTTTCTTTCAGATTTCTCACAAATTACAAGAACTGGACTTATACATTTGATCCCTGTATGTCGTTTAACCTTCCTCATAATCCAGACGTCGGCTTTGGAGACAAATGTCGCTATGTGACCGTAAGTAGTCATACTTCAACAATACAATTATTTTAGTCCTTCCGGGGTCGATTTTCTTACTGATAACTCTTGCGGATAAATTTTCTTTACATATGCAGCCTTCATTAAACTCATTCACTTACTGACAAACTTAAATTTGTGACTTTTCAAAAGCATTGACAATAAGTCTGGTATAAATATCACAAGTGCTTATCTAGATATTTGCTAAGCTTTGTTTAGTCTAGCACAAGGCCACCCCGGGGAAGAGGCATCAAGCTCATTACACTACCGAATTGAGCTACGAGACGATTTTCATGACCATAACTCAAGAGGAAACATTATTTCTTTTGAAGTCTAAATTATGGATGTGCGTAGTGTCTATCGACAGAGAAAATGGGATAGGCGCAACAAGTTCAAATTTTAAGTGAGTCTGTACGGTTCACTTTCGCCCAAATACCCTTGGAAAAGTATGAACCAATTTCTCTCTTCGACGTAGGGTTAATAGCAGATGGAAAACTTTTAAGTTAAAATAACCTGAAGAAAAATAGGCTCCGTCAGGTTAACTTGATCTTGACACAACCACTACTGCTACGTCGGTACATGGTTCCTAAAACGAATCTAATGTGTTACATAACCCATGACAATAATTTATGAACATGTGCCTATACATTTCTAAACGGTATTTTTCATTGACTACCGTCATTTAGATTTAAATAAGTTTAAATGTAAGTGTTTCATGAGATACGTAATACTTTTAAAAATATATTTAGACTTAGTATATTGTTTGATGTTTAGTACAAGCAGCTCTTCGAGACCAGAACACTTTAAAACAAAAATTGTCACATATTTCCTTCAAGTTTCAGTATATTTTTAATGTCAATGTGTAACGTCATATCGGCATAATATCTCATCAGCTGCATGAGAACAAAATAAAACGTTACATTTTATCTAAATCAGCCAATTCTAAGTGATTAATTTGTTCTTCTCGCAAAGATATTTCTTACGAATTTCTTCACCCTCGACTCCAGAAATGTTATCGAATGCCAAGTTTTCTGAAAAAACACTATCAATTTTCTGCACCTGAAAAACAATGTATAGTATTTACATGGTTCGGACTGACCTCATCTTTATCGCCATATTCACGTATTTTTCGGCTGTTGTACGCTCCGGCCTTCTCCCGGTGATATAAATTGGAATTTCGAACCGAACCCTGTATATGCCTGAATATGACAATAAAGATAACAACATCAGTTCGAACGATGTAAATATTGTAAATAATTACAATACCTCATCTCAGAAACAGAGCCAGAAAATGTTCTTTATGTCACATTTTATTATACAAGTCAATGTTTTGACGATAAAATTAACCAAATGTTTGACGTTTAAATGTCCACTGATAGTTGCATATATTTAAGATTTTGCTAGTGTTAAATTTTTTCTTCAGATTTTTTTTTTGTTCAGGCGGGAAAAAAAAGGTATTACACGTTCAGTTGCTACTTTATCAATTGTAATGTTCCTGTTCATTTCTTTAACTAAAGTTATTTAAGATCAAACTGAGTGTAATGTCGACAGGGGAGACTAGCTTGCACTCTGCCAAACGTTTTCCTTTTCTGTCTTGTAGTGTTTGAATGAATGCAAATGCTTCTTAATTACTAATTTCTTTCTTCTCTTTTTTTAATCTTTTCTTTATTCTTTTTCAGGTGTGCAAATCAAAGTCGACGTTGAAGCGATCCTATTACTACTCTCTGGGTACCATGGAGCATTCGAAAATTCACAAAATTTACTTCCCGCATTTAGGAGCCTACCATCTGGGCATATCATACCGGGGTATGAAGTAAGTGACCCGGATAACAACCATGCTGCTAACTGGAGTTCGTTGATCAATGGGGCTCTAAATATGGTACGATAGAGACAACTATACCAGAGCACCCCCATGTAATTAATATATATATATATATATATATATATATATATATATATATATATATATATATATATATATATATATATATGTACGTTTACATAGAGTCACTCTTTGTTCACTAATCTAAAAATGCATTTTGAATCTTACACTTAGTTATGACTTTTGCTTTCATTTCACTCACATTCGATGTGTATGTATATATATATATATATATATATATATATATAAATCTGGATTTTTGTCTATGAAAATATTTTCCTCATATTTGCTTTTATATCTTTGGTTTAAATCTGCAATATTCTTGCGTTTCTGTTTTTTTCGCTGATATGTTTAGGCCCAGAATAAAACAATAGGGCTTTTCCAGGGATTATACATTAATAGAAAGTCATAACATTGTGTAGAAGACAAAATGAAGATACGTCGTCACTCTAAAAAAAGGACATTACGAAATTAATTCCGACAGTCGCTTAACTAGTATACTAGTGAAAACGTTAATTAACAACGTGGTAATATTTGCGCATTAGGAAGTTATATGAATATTTCCCTCAGAATGTTTGTCTTTTTCAATAATAATGGTGATGTTGGATTAGAAATAAACGAAGCCAAATATACCCATCCTAACACCCAGCCTAATACGTGTATACCAGGCATAAGCATCATAGCCAAATTTGTACGATATGCGACAGGTCTTGATAAAAACAGCGCCTAATCACTCAATTAGAAATACAGGGTGTCCCCCACCCCGCAAATTGACATCATTTTGTAGTCGAATAACATAGTCAATTTTCGCTCAAATATCAAATTTTAACAAAGTGTGTAAAAAGTAAGTTGACTCTGCGGACATCTCAATCTATAAGGAAGATGGATTGGGCATGCTAGCGATAATGACAATGTGCTGCTGAAATGACCACCACGTTCACCTGACTTGACATCTTGTGATTGTTTTCTATGGGACTATGTGAAAGGACACATCTATATCCCCTTCGTCCTACAAGCCTAGAGGAACTTAAGTAGAGAATTACTGAAGCGCTGGAGAATGTTATGCCTGACATGTTACAGCGTGTTTGGCAGGAGCTGGACTACCGACTAGACGTTTGTCGTGTCACAGGTCGTGCGCGTATTGAACATTTCTGAAGCTTTGTGAAATTGGTTGAAAAATCTACATCCCTTTGAATATCTTCGAATTTTGATAAATCTTTTATTGCTTTTATTGTTTTAACTTCATTTGTCTGGGCGATGTAGATATTCAAATTTTAAATGATGTCAATTTTTTTGGACATCCTGTACTTTTTGGTCGAATAATCCAATTCTTTCAGAGAGTGTTCCACAGTAAATAGACGCACCTCTCTACTGGCTTTGCTGTCTTTAAGCTTAAGAATCTGCCATCTGGACTTCTGACCATGATGCTTCCCCATTACTCTTGCTCACGAATAGATACACTATGCGTCCGTTCATAGTGGACATGCCTCCCTAGTTATGGTCAAGCAGCATGCAAGCAAACAAGTGGAACGGAACAGAATACAGTAGCTTATACTACTGTAAAGTAATTTGGCCAGGGTTAAATGTAATTTTCAGAAATGACCAACAAACAGAATTAACATAGTTTGTAATAAACAATAGCAAGAGAAACAAAAGAACAGGGCAAAAATAATATCGATTAAACAATATATGCAAAACAAAAGTAGGCAAAGCAACAATAATAAGTTAAAAAATTCACAAACTAAGAATGGTGTTAACACACAAAAGGGGATGCAAGCAAGCGATCACAGCATTCTGACTTCATGACAAGAAAACAGAAATATGATAATGAGACCGAAAATCTAATTGGCTAGGAAGAAATCCCATCATGCTTCTGTGTTTTGTATATACATTTGGGGAGAGAGATTTTTGCAGTCTTTCCATTGATTGGAACCTGCACAATACGCAGAGAAAAAGCATGTTAACAGAAATTATCGTTGATACAGCATTAGGACATTTATTATTATTATTATTATTATTATTTGTGTGTTATTTTTCTTGCTTTGTATTCTGTAGAGCCAGGTCCAAACTATGGTCCTTAGACCCTGTCATTTAATTGATAATACTTTTCTTAGTATATGGGATGTTCCTAGTAGGGCGATATTCTGGGAAACTTGTATGTTAATGTTACCTGCGACATTGTTAGTAAAATTGCTCATTCCTTTTCCCACGAGGCCCATAGCTCCGATGATTATTGGTACAGTCTCAGTCTTTATACACCACATCCTGTTAATGTTGATCTTGGGACAATTTCTCGATAATTTTCATGGAAATGTTTATCGCAGATAGTAATGCTATATCAATAAGCATACACTTCCTGAATTTCTTGTCTTTTATCATAATATCAGGTGTGTTATCTTTTTAATTGGCATGTCCCAGAGGATAGTTATTTTAGGTAACTGTGTCTGCTTGGGGCTCATACTATCTCTCAGCGGTTTTGATTTTGTGCTTTTTGCATATCTTTCAGTGCACAAATGTTGCTACCTTGTTATGGCTGTGGCTATATTCATATTTTTACTAGTTTCGGAAATCCTCAGATGATATGGTTGACAGTTTCATCATATTATTCCGCACATCCTTTCGGGTTTGTTCCATCCTTGATTATGCGATAGTGATATGATCTGGTTGCGAGTTTTGGTCCTGAGCTTCAATAATTAGGCCTTTTCTTTTTGCTTTCAACCTGGTGCTCCTCAGCAACTGATGTGTTTTCTGTTCGTCTACATTTGCTTCTTTCATTCTTTTTAGGAATTTGCCATGCAACGCCTTGTCCTCCCAAATTTTGTTGCAATTTCATTTAGCCAAATTGTTTTGCTTTCTGTTTTACTCGTTTAGCGTAGATGATATTCGCTTCATTTTTTGTTGGTAGGGTTCAAGGATATTAAATTGTTTTTTGAAGAGTGCAGCTTCTTTGTTGATGGAGTGGATTTGGTTTTTTTTTTTACTATTTGTAGGAGAAGATTATTGGTTTTTGTAAGGTATGCTCCCATCCTATTGTTGTAGTTTTTAAAATTAGTTCAATTTGGATTAGACCTCAGCCTCCTAAACTTTTGGTACGTACAGTCTATCAATATCTGATTTCGGTTGGTGCATCCTCATTTGGGTAAGCATTTTCTGGTTTTCGGGTCCAAACTTTTAATGTCATTCAACTTCCATTTAATAATATTGAAGCTCTAACGGGTATAGCTAAGGTGATGATAGCCTTCATTTTATTGGCCCCATTAAGTTCGCTTTCTAGTATCAAACGCACTCTCCTATTATATTCTTTTCGGATCTTTTTCTTCATAATTGAATGTTGTATTGCGTCTCCTTCATTAGTTCCTAAATATTTATAGATACCATCTTGGTCTATTTCTTTAATCTTGTTGATATCAAGGTATAAATCTGTAGTTTTTGTTAGTTTACCGTCTTTGAAGGTGGCTTTAGCACATTTGTCGATTCCGAAATCCATCTTAATGTCTTCGCTGAAGGTTTTGACAATGGTGAGTAGGTTTTTCTGCCGGTTGTCATCGTTGGCAAACGTTTTCAGATCATAAATATAGAATAGGTAATTCAGTTTGCTGTTCTGTGATTTTTATCCGTAGCTACTGTTGTTCGGTAGGCAGCTGAGTGGTGCTAATGCAAGGCAGAAGAGTAGTGGGGATAATGAATCTCCTTGGAAGACCCCGCTTTTGATATTGATTTGTCTAGATGTCAATGACCCGTTTTTATGGTTTAGGTTCAGTGTAATCTTCCAGTTTTTCATGCTCTCCATTATTATTATTATTATTATTATTATTATTATTATTATTATTATTATTTCAAGCCTTTGCATGTTGACACCAGATATTTTATGATTAACGCTGAAGGTTGAGTGACAACAAGTCTAATCAAATCGCCGATATTTCTTCATTATCCATGTAGACAACATCACCGCTATAGTCTGAACAGACTATATCTTTTCTGGAATTTCTAATTCATACAGCCTCTATTCAAAAGTTTTTGATACGGTTCTAAGAGCGTCGGCTATTATGGACACAAAAGCAGTCATATTCTATAGTTTTCTCCTATCTTAGGCTTGGTTATTTTTCTAGGTTTATGCTTTCTTTTATCTTGATTCTGAGATATGCTGAAGTGAGTCGCGTCTTTGATCGAAGAAATCCTCTTTTCCTCTTTTAGGCTAGGATGGACGGCCTGGATTTCAAAGTCTCAGACTATTTCACTCTTACTGTCAAGAACAACATCTAGTTTCTGTTATTAACATTTATTGACATGGTCGAAGCAACAGTTTTATTTTTATTATCATTGCATTCGTGCAATTTTATGTGCATCAAATGCAGCTAAGTTACATGCTTTATATATGCATTGTATGTATTATGTTATATGTATTATATATAATATGTCTTTAAACAATTTTTTAACGGTATAAAAACTAAATATATCATTTTTTCTTAGATAACAGATAAAGGCTACGTTTAAACTGTCTTAACTCATTTTTAAAGGCAGTTGTGTTTATGTTTTAACATTTTAAATTTTATCAATGATCCTCCTTGAAAGCTGATCGAAAAGCTGATCACTTAAGAGGAATTGTATCTTTTTCTTTTAACTGTTAATTTCAAAGTGTTTCTGGTACATCGTTTGGATTACTTAATATATTCTTTTTTATATTTGTTTTGCTTTTCGTTTGTTTTTTAGTTTGGTATTGTTTACTCCGGCCAACAATGTAAAATATTTAATTTCACCAAAAGAATATCGAGAACAAATTATCATCAAAACGGCTGAGTGAAAAACAAACATCTGAAAATAGAATACCTTAACCAGAAGAAAGCTAATTCGTTAATGATTCTCCGGTACATTCAAGCAATCTCACCGGACACGCATGCGCACAGATTTTTGCAATGTTATTTCAGAATTTTTACAACACCTGAATTATCAGATTTTATGTAAAAAAGAAAAAAATGTGTTAAAACCAAGAATTTATCTATCTAATCTAATTTTCATTGAACAAAAGTAGACTATCTGATCATGATTGAGAAAACAACAGGTGAAATGAAAAGATTATTGTCAACATTATTACATCATAGCCGACCTGCGAGGCCATGCACATTTAAGCTAATAAATTTCTACTTTATTTATATTAATGTATTTTATATGATAATAATAATAATAATAATAATAACCAAGTTTTCATTATTCCGAGTTGTAGCAAAATTACCAGGCAGCTCGGATATGAGCAAACATTTTGTAAGTTTTTGTTTAAGATCTTTTTATTTATCTAGGGTTCGGTTCATTTTCTGGTTCTGGGGAGAATTTGAACATTTCAGCTTTCATGACCTATTGTCAAAGAGTTTTACTTTTGTAATGCGAGAATCACATAGCATACACAACGACACAATCATGTCAATGCAAACATGAAACTTTTTGAATGGATTTTGAAAAGTTAACCTGTTCGTTGGTCTCGAAAAGAACCTCCAATCAGTGGTTAACTGGGAGAAGAAATGGCTTGTAAATTTTAATGTCTTCAAAACTAAATTGCTTTAATTTAACCACCATAGGGAAACTTCCAACTATCAGAATGGTTGATGCTTGACAGAATGGTTGAGATTCTCACTGCGCATTCTTGGCCTCACGTTTTCCACTGCCATTCGTTCATGCATTGAATACTTTTGTCATAACTAGTCTGGTGCCCCTGTTTGGTCATCTCGAGGTCCTCGACAAAATCCAAAGAAGCATCTCGGTCCAGACTTAGCATCTCGACTCCAGCCATTTTCTCACAGAAGTGATGCAGCATCTTTTCTACAAATATTTTAATGGCAACTACATTGATGAGCTATTTTCCCTGTTGTCCCGACTACAAGAATTTAAGCATGCTACTAGGTTGGCATTTAGGTTCCACCCGTTTACTGTTGAAACAGTTAACTGCAACCGCCTCTTCTACACCAACAGCTTCTTCTCTCGCACTACCCGTCAGTGGGGGTCCCTTCCTCTTACTTGCTTCCCTGATAACTACAATCGTCAAAAATTTCAATGCAACGACAATCGTCATTATCTGATGTCTTGATCCCCGTGCTACTTTTTTGTCTTTTCCTCAACCTCCTCCCCTATACTCAGTCTTTTCGCTTACTTTCACTCTCTACAACACCCCTCGTGCTAGTGGCATCCCTGACTTGGAGTGAAATGCTTGAAAATAAAAAATAAAAAAAAAAAACAGTTCGGAAGTCTAATGTTCAAATTCTTCCCTGCAATCGGGAAAATGACCCGAAAACTTAAGTAAAAAACTCGTTTCTTTTTAGGCGTCCATGGAATGGGTTCCTCAGCATAAATTAGGTATTATTATTATTATTATTATTACCAATTCCTACTAATTGTAAGATAAAAGTATCATGTACTGTTATAAACGTTACTGAAGATGAATAGAATATTCATTTTTACCGTAGAGGATTTTTAAAGTGCCGTTTCCTTTCAGGATGCAGGCGATCACGGCTCTCCACTCTTTTTATTTATTATTTGTGAATTGTCATGACTTCTCGTGAAAGGCAGCAGAATATTTCTCCATAGCTTTCTGTACCGTTTTTGATATTCGGAGTTGATCTTCTTGTTCTTCTCTGATTAAATATCATATCTGGAGGCGAAGAGATTTAGTTACATCATTAGTGTGAAAGTGAACGCAACAGATTTGGCTGGAGTTTCAATTCGGTTGACCAACTTCAATTTCCGTGTCAATAACCGTTACACTATCCACCTAATCAACTTCAATAGATCGATTTTCTTATTTCAGGAAGCAGTTTTCAAATTTCTCGTTAACATATCTAAAATGAGAGCATTGCGATTTTTGTACTTTGTGGCCAATTCTGTATTGTTTATTTTGGCGGTTGACTGCATATAACTAAAGCAACGGAAGCAAAACCGTGCATAAAATGGATCAATGCACATTTATACAGAATCAAGCACACACACACACACACACACACACACACACACACACACACACACACACACACACACACACACACACACACATTCAGTATAGCTGTATCATCAATCTCAATAAAAAAAATGGCAAATTCTGTTTGTCCGTCGGTGTGTCTTTCAAAACAACGCTAACTCAGGCTAGATTTACTTTACATAGACATATTATACCTTTCTGGAAACAAGATGATCCCGGGATTGAAAATATTCCCTTTATTTGGTGCTTGAACATACAGCATTGGGGTTTGTTTTCGGATGAGGAAGACACAGTTAAAAATTTAAAGATTAAATAACTTGAAAAATTAGTGATTTTAAAGTTTTTAATTTATATTGAGTTTAAAATGAAAAAAGTTTATTAATTTAAAAATCTTTTTTTTAATTCAGTTAAAAATATCTCCGAATCTTTGTGAAATCAATATTATTTCTTCAAAATGCCAAGGAATCAGAACTAGAGTGAGCTGTTTCGTGACGTGGAGTTTTGAAATTCAGCTGAACCAGAAGAATTCAATTTTTAGGCCGGAATTGAAATTTTAGCCCAAATCGGAGTTTTACCTAAAAACAGTCTTTTGGTCGGAATTCGATTGATCGACCGAATCAGATATAAAATGAGATTTTTAAGTTCCATGGAGTCAATTGAGGAATTCAAAGTTATTCTTTCAAAATTATCATTGCTGTTTTCGAAGATGGACCGAAGATAGCTGAAAAGTATGCACTGAGTGCGGTTTTTAAGCTAGTAAGAAATGATAACAAGTTTATTTATTTATTGGATCGAGCTAGCTAAGATAGTCATGATTCTGTCAGTTCAACCATCATGTTCCTGCATCGAGGTTGGAAGGTCATTAGGGTGTCATAACATAGCCGGTCAATGTAGTTGATTGCTGGACGACCAAACCCTCTTGCTACATGGCTAGATCACCAAAGCAATAGATCACTCGATAGTTAATATTTTGTTCGTCAGCAGTGTTCAGTAGAGCGGATTATGCATTCGCGTAATAAATATCAGGGATGAATCAAAGAGCTGTGATTTAGTTGGATGTTGTATCCAAGAGATGTTAAGTATAGCTCTCAATATCCAAGTGTAGGCTCCATCAATATATATATATATATATATATATATATATATATATATATATATATATATATATATATATATATATATATATATATGTGTGTGTGTGTGTATGTATTTAGGCAGTAAATTCTATTTTAGGCATGTCTGATTGAATAAATTACAAACATTATGCCTGCTAATTTTTAACAAAATGTGTTCATACTCACGTAATTACCGTAACAACTATCCTACACCATGAAAACAACAAATTCAGATTACAGATACTAGAAGCAATTTATATTAAAAAATAAAAGCGGGCACTGAACAGAATCAACTATGAATACTGCAGTAATGTTCTGAAATGCCTGTAAAGGAGCAGTTTTTTCACGCTTTAATGTGTACATGACCATGGCATTATTACATGAAAAAAAAATCCATAATGGATAATTTTTCACGTTCTAATGAACGCTTAACACATTGTCAGCCGTTTTGCATTTACGAGCATAACGAAAAAAAATACGGTAATGTATGACAACGCACAACTTTGTATAAGTACTTTTACTAATGAACAACATATAGTTTTGTACTACTTGCACCCCTGAAGATGATCTTGGAAGAAGATTGAATGTAATTGGGAAATGAAAATAAAACAATTAAACAGCTTTAGTACATTTCTCTCATCCTTTAACGTCAGCTTATTTGTTAGTATGAATGGATTTTGTTAAAAATTGTCAAAAATTGTCAAAAATGATATCTGTAATTTATTCAGTCAGATATATCTATATATAAGCGCTCTTTTACAAAGTTTTCCATGATAAATTACTATATTTATTAAAGTGCATGTATTGACTTAATGTCTCGTAAATTGAATTTAGTTAAAAATAACGAATATCTATCAATATTTTGTTTCTTTTTTATTACCTCAGATCTCATCGTGAACTCTCGGTGCATATTGCACTTATATGTGACAACAATTTTACCAATCCAATGGATGCAGTCTTTAAAATAACGCAAGATGCACCGAAAAAAGATACCGTAAGTTAATTTTAGTTCAGGCATTAACTTTTCACCTCGACATGTAAACTTTTAGAATTGGCCAAGTTTGTAATTTGAATAAGTGCTCTTTTAAGATAACCAAGTGATATTAGCGAAGCATCTTTCTCTAATGCGGGTGTATATTTCATTATATCCAGATTATCAGGTTTTTTAATTAATTTTCTTTTGATGCCGACTTGTAATAGGACATTTATCGTTACACAAACAAAAGATAGATATTTGTTCCTATGTTTTAAATTGCAATAAAATCGACGAGAATTGAACCAGTTGAAATGTCTTGGACACATAATGAGGAGGTAGGGCTTGGAGAATTTGACATTCACAGGACAAGAAGGAAGAGATTGAAACACCTGTCTAACAATCCTGTAGAAATGGATAGCAAAACAGGGAGTGGAATGGATGGTGAAAAGGTAAACCTTACTAAGAGATATAAAGAACTGAATGCAAAGGGCATTGTAGAGAGAAATGATCGTCCACGTCCGAAAGGGGCACGGCACATAATATTGAGTATAGCCTGTGATTAAAATAGGGGACATTTCGGTGTACCAAACGGGGAAGGCCTGTTTGCCTGGAAAATAAGCATTTGGGATTCTACGTTTTACCTAGGTTTAAACAATGGCTGCCATTCACACACACACATACGCACGCGTGTATTCATACTTCTGCCCGTGTGAAAGCGTGTGTGTGTGTGTTTCTGTGTGTGCGTGTATTAGGCAAGTATCACCTGTTTTCCGGGTGGGGTGACAGCCTTGCATTTCCACTGAATAGCGATTTTCTAAGCCCAGCTTAGATGTGGCACAAGGCCGAAAGTATGCGTTACCCAGTGAGGATCGAACTCACTACTCAGTCGTAATTGTTCTAGCGAGACAAGCTTGCTAACCATTACATCACGTCGAGGTGCCCGCATTTCCACTGAATAATCGTGATTCTTGCTGACAGTCCTTAAAATCTTAATTCAGATTTTCTTTCTTGTAAAATATCTATTTAACCAACAACTAATACTAATGGGTTAAATAGTAGAGGAGACCGAGCTCTCTAGTCTTGGATGATGGTCAGCCAAAAAGAGGAGATCAAATCTGAAATCAAAACTATGAAGAAAACAATGGGAAAAATTTCACTATCTTTCCAAAGAAGTCATTTTAATTCACGCATAATAAAGAAAAGGAATATGCTGAGACCCATGATCGCTTACATACATGAGAATGTATTTAAGAAGAATACTTATTTAAAAATTTAGTATCCAAATAAGGAAGTTTTTTTTTATGTAATTATTGAAGACATTAATAAAAATATCCATTTCTTCTTTCAGTATGGCGAATTAAGGCATAAGTGTGCGTGTGTCAACGGCTGCTTGGAGAAAAAGATAAACAAGTCAGAAAACAGTGAGTGCGAAATATTCATTTTAAAATCCATATACAGCCATTTTTATTCTCCCCTCTGTAAACCTTAGGTCTTACTCCTCTATTTTACTTCTCTCCCCATGATCCTTAATTCTTACTTTTTTTTTGATTTTTCTTTCTTCTCCTACGCAATCCTTAATTCTTACTCTTTTATTTTTCATCTTCCCCTCCGTTATCTTTTGCTTTTATTCCTGTATTTTTCTTCTCTCCCCATAATCCTTAATTCTTACTATTTTATTTTCCTTTCCTTTATTTTTTTATTTCACTTAGTACTTCTTTTGCCGCCATATTTGCCTTCTCCAATGACGTCATTTATTCTCTCTGGCTTTCCTTACTTTTTGCTGGAGGCAACTGAAACTTCTATTCTGAACTTTAACATAGAAGACAAATAGAAGAGGTGAAATATAATTGAAGCTTGCAGATACCTTAAGTGTCGTTTGATTACCTTGATGTAGTGCTGTGGATCTTTGAACTGCCGAATTAATTATCTAACCAGGTCTTAAATTGAACGAAATAGCCAAAGTTTCCTGTTCAGATATAAGTAAATTTATTACTGTTGATGGAAATAATATTGGATGAAAGTATTTAACTAATGTTCCTTGCAAGAAGTGATGTGAATGCCGACTTTGATACAGTTTGGTTTTACACCAGTAGAAACGGATTTAAACAGGTGAGGTTTTATATTTATAGACATTCAATTTGCGTCAAAATTTGAAGGGTCATCTCTCTACTCTGATGGATGATCAGTCAGCCTATGATCCTGCATATGTGGAGGGCTAGAAATTACAAGAATGTAACGCTTAAGCATAACGATTGTTCCAATAATAACTGGAGTACTCGGAATGATTAAAAGGAATACACACATTAAGAAAAATAGCAAGAAACCCAATACTATATAAAAAATACTGTGCACATGAGCACTTCTCACATACACAGACAACTTCCTAAATATGATATGCAAGAAAAAACTTTTGCTAAGAAAAACTTTCCTTTAACTCAGATACAAATCTTAGTAAATGATTGCATCAAATAGTAAATTAGGAAAATTTACGATAATAATAATAATAATAATAATAATAACAGCAACAACATGGGTAACTCAAAGTTGTATGTTAGGAATGATAGTGAGCTGGAAGTTCTCCTGAAAACAGTAAAATGTTTTAGTGATGACTGGCATTGTATTCAGTTTGGATAAATGTGTTAAAACCACTATTTTACGAGGATCACTGCAATAACCCCTTTTATTAGCTTAGACCCTGGGTTAACAATCAAATATTTAGAGCAAGAAGAAGTATATAGGTAACTTGCTGTAAATGAGCGTGAAGGAATTCACCATAAAAAAAATGAAAGAAATATTGCGAAAGGTGAACTATATCACGGTGCGACGGATATTAAGAAGTGAATTCTCAGAACAGAATTATGGACATTAATAGCCTTGCTATTCCAGTGGTTCAATATAGTTTCAACATCTTGAGCTGGATTTTAAATGACATCAGACGAATGGATTCTAAGCAAAGAAAGCTTCTTTCTAAGCATAAAATGCATCATTCAAAGGCTGATGTAAACCGTCTATACATACCACATAAAGAATGTGGAAGTGATCTTCTTCAGCTAGAATTATCATACAAGACAACAACTATTGGCTTACTAATATACATGGCAACAACAAAGGACTGGATGATACAATTAGTTAAACAATACGAAAACTATTCAATCATGAAAGAAGGTTGTCAATACAAACAAGATTTACATTTGTTAGATTCTGTAGAAAACCAAAAACAGAACCCAAGAGCCAACTTTTGCAGCAAACATATGAAAAAGAAAGCCAAGGATAAAGCTTTTGAACAGAACAAACAACGCTGGTAAGACAAACCTCGGCATGACCAATATCCAGAACGTGCTAATAAAGCCAGCTTTGATAAAGATAACACTCATCGATGGTTACGAGCATCTAGATTAAAGGCTGAAACGGAAGGCTTTATTCTTGCAGCGCAAGATCAGTCTTTTCACTAGGAACTTTCGGGCAAATATGATGCATAATAGTATGGATCCAAAATGCAGGTTCTGTGAGAAATATCAGGAAACCAGAGACCATCTAATCTCAAGCTGTTCTGAACTTACGCCAAATGAATATAAATATCTTCACTGTAGAATGGGACAATATTTACGTTGGACAATGTACAAACACTTTGGAAAAGATGCTAATAAACACTGGTATGAACATCACCCAGCACCGGTTACAGAAATAGAAGAAGTCACAATTCTATGGGATTACATCATCTTTACAGGTAGGAAGACTGAAGCAAATAAGCCGGACATAATTGTCAAAATCCGAAAAGAAAAAAAAAATTGTCTACTAATTGATATGGCTTGCACAGCGACTGTAACGCAGCAACCAAGGAATTTGAAAAAACTATCGAAGTATAAAGACCTGGAAATCGAAATAGAAAAATGTGGAAAACAAGAACAACACTAGTCATAGTAGGTGCTCTTGGAATAATACAAAATGGAGTACAACAACACAATGAAAAAAATCTCTGGAAATCCTAGCTTAAGAGAAATACAAAAATATCTTAATAAGTACAGCCTCGGACACTAAGAACTTTGTCCATGTAACGCTAGTGATGTTATGGAAGTTAGAAGAACAAATCATGAAATGTAGCCATAACAACACGCCACTACCTACCTTACGTCTTTCCGTGACTTGTTAGGTAGTATGATCATAGCAGAAATCGAAATATAATGATAGGCCGGACATAATTGTCAAAAACCGAAAAGGAAAAAAATAGATATAATAATAACTAGATATACCCTTGAAAATTTTGCGGTTTTCTTATTTGAACTTTCTGACGAAGCATAATTCTTAAGTTAATAGTCGAATAAGCTCCTGCCGAATTTATGACAATAAAATATCTGTAATAATTCCCCTATCGCAACGTTAAATATTTGAGCTAAACAACTTTAACAAAATATTACAATAAAAATCATAAAAATGAATGAAGGTCACTATTTAAAGAAGGTACAAATAAAAAGATTTATAATTGACAGATTTTTTTTATTTCACTTAAGCAGATTTTATGGCCACACCTATTTCTATGATTCATGATGTATTGGCAAGTTTAACGTACGTGTTTAGCGCCTACGTAAGAGACTAAGGAATTTAGTAACAGTGATAAATAACTTAGTAACAATGATAATAAAATATCGCAGACCAGTGTAATATCTATCTATCTATCTATCTATCTATCTATCTATCTATCTATCTGCTCATATACACACGCATGCGCCAAGTGTGTAAAACGATTTTATATTGTTACCGTTTCAGAAAAAAAGTAGACAAGAAAAGAATTCGGAAGAGGAAGTAGAGATTAAGTGTTAGAATAATAAGCACACACACGCATACATATGCACACACGTACGCACACATACACAGACGAGTGTGTGTATATATATATATATATATATATATATATATATATATATATATATACAATATATTCATTTCTTCAATTTTTAGTATTTTTGTTTGCAAGGGACGCTATTTTAAATTCTTTAGCAAAAAGTTACTTCCCTTGCAAAACAATTTTTAATTACAAACTTTTTATTCTTTATGATATTCCTTTGAAGAGAAACAGTTTAAAATATTTATCGCAATTGTACAACAGATTTGCTACATTAGAGCAATAATAATAATAATAATAATAATAATAATAATAATAATAATGAAGAGGAGGAGGATAATAATTATAATAATGTGTGTACGTGCGTGTGTGTGTTTATATGTGCGAATACGTGTTCGTGCGAAATGAAATTAAGTGTTGAGTTTAAAGCATTTGGATGATTACAACTTGAGGAAGGCTGGAGAACACACCAGTGGCAGCATATTAATCGAAATAAAGATAAGGTGAGTAGTTCGAATAATTCCTACAATAATGCCAAATGTTACGGTTTATTATAAAAATAAATTATAAATCTAAAATACTTATTGAAATCATTAAGTAAAATGTAGTGACGAATTATATTTTACTGTTTTTTTCATTTTGTTAAGGGACATCTGGGTTGCGATAGAATAAATTAATTTTTTTATATCTCAGGATAGTTTCGTTACATATTGTTGTTAAAATTCATTAAGTGTAATTTTATTTCTCTATTAAATATGTGGGTGTTGTTTTGTTTGTTTAACAGCGTATCAAATCCTTATTGATCATTTAATTTTCTTAGGAACTTTGAAGTAATGAAATATATGTTATTCTGCTTTCACAATTGAATACATGGTAGATGATACTCAGCTTTTGTATATATACATGTTTGTGTATGCTAGAGGCAGTGATGTGTGCGTTTTATATATTTTGGAATACAGTTTTATTTAAGAAATAATCTGATATTTTATATGCTAATATCATGAAAGTGTTATTTCATGTTGGTTGTTTCGTTGATTTTGTTTATCGGCTTATAAACCTCTATGGGTTATTTAATGCCGAAATCTAAATATTTTGAATACAATTTTATGGCTTCAACTAAATAGATTTTGAACGCAATTGTATGCCTTCAACTACAGATAAAATGTGTTGTAGGTCATTTTACTATAAATATTTAATGATCATTTTTTTTTTCATATAAAAATGTATATATATCTAAGTTTGGTAAAATTATCCAAGAGTTAATTTTCACAATGAACCATGTAGAAATTAGATAAAGTAGAACCAAGAGGCGAACTCATTGTTACGCCGTCAATCTGTGTGTGGATGTTGTTTCAATGATCATAAAAGTGTACATGTGCCGTGAAAGACAATAGAATTCGATATAGAATGCTTGGCTCAATATTAGTGGATGGGAGCAAAGAATGCTAATGTATGTTTTGTATTACTATATTTGTCGTTTCTTTAACATGAATATTGATAAAGTAGCTTTCAACATCTAAGTGAGTAAGGTTGCCATTATTAGATTTATTTGAGGGCTGTCGTTGAAATTCGTTTGGAGAA